CCTCTGCCCAGGCGGGTGCAGGTGCCCCTGCCCACCGCCACCCCTGGCTTCTCATCACCCCGTTTCCTCCGCGGGCCTCGCCAGCCGCTGTGGAGAGAATCCCCCGCGAGCGCCTTGAGGACATTCGTGCCCAATGGAGGAATCCACCCACCAAGGGCCGATCCCGGCACCACACGTTCTGGGCCGACTCGCCTCCACAGCCCGACTCCACCTGGCCCAGGAACCTCGCCACCCCCCGCCAAGTTCAGGACTCAGGCCCCTGAGGCAGCGGCTCCGGCTTCCCCGAGGTTTTCCCTGGAGGGCCGGGAGCAGTCGGAGCCAGCACAAGGCTCGCTCAGAGGGAAAACGTTCCCAGGCTACTCAGCAGTGACCACGGCAAGCGCCAGGGGCCTTTTCACAGACTTCACGTGCCCTTCACACTGTTTCCTCAGCTCACCCTGAAAGGCCGCCGAGTAGGGTGCGCAGAGTCACGGCTAGACGGCACCCCGAGCGGCGTCCACGTCCTCCACCCCAGCTCTCTGCAGGAGGACGGCCCCGATCACTCTCTCCTCAGGACTGAGAGAGTCCACACTTCACCTCACCTTGGCCGACATGTCGGTCACCGCAGCCAAGCCCAGGAAAGTCTCATGACACTAGCTGGAAACAACGCGGCCTCTCCCCGCCCGAGACTGCTTGATGCTCATCCCTGCTTGTGAGAAGGTGAGCAGCTCCTCCTGGCCTGCTCTTGGGATGTATTTTCTGTCTCTCAGGATGTTCCACATAATCTTGCACACATCCAAGTTTTCACAGATTTGTTTCATGAATCTACACATACTTATTACTAGTATTCTTCAAAATGATATCACAAGTCAGATTAATTTATAACTAAGGATTTGATAAGGTAACTCTAGCTCAATTATTTATTTGGCTTTCCAAAATACTCGTTTAACAAATAGTTAAGATTTATTTATTTATGCACACAAGAGCTGGGGTACAGGCCGTAGATGCTTGGGTTGAGAGGATTCACCAGAGACAGAGCAGGGAACAGAGCAGGCCAACTGACAAAATACACTGCTGAGGGGCGCAGCAGGCCAGTCAGGAGAGGTCTGAGGCACATGGCAGTCAGCTCCCTGGCCGGCTGGGATCCAACTTGTGCACAGTGGCTGGCAGTAGTTTGAGAGCACTGTGTTTAACCCCTGGGCCACCAGGGAGGCCCTTACCTTTAGTTTGAGATCAGAAGTGTGACTCCTTCATTTCCACCCACTTTTAATCAGGAAAGCTTTGGTTATTTGGGGTCTTATGTGTTTCCATATGAACCTCAGTAATCTTTGTTCTATTCCTCTGAAGAATGCCATCGGGATATTTATTGGGGTTGCAGTGATACTAGAAGGGGCTTCGGGTTGGATGGCCCTTTGGACAATGTTGATTCTTCCACCCCATGAGCTGGGTCTTTCTTTCCATTTCTCTACGCTTTCTATTATTTTTTTCTACAATGTTTGATAGTTTTCCTTGTAAAAGTCTTTCACTTCCTCTGTTAAATTTATTCCCAGTTATTTTTTTTTTTTGCATGTGCAATTGTAGGTGGCATGGCTTTATTAATTTCCTCTTCTAGTTCATTATTTGTACTTAGGAAGGCATATGTTTTTCAATGCAGAGTTTGGTGGCATTACATACACTCACTCTGTCGTATAACTCTTATTTCTGAAACCAGGGTGTCCCAAAGGCTTACATACACCCCCAAAACAGACCTGCGTTCTTTCTGCTCATTGCTTAACCCTTTGCACTCCGCTGTCCCCTCTCAGGGGACATTGGAATTCTAGCATATCACTCGGATGTCCCCTCTCAGGGGACATTGCAATTTATTAGTGATTATGGGGAACTGAGTTATTTCAACGCACCTTTTTGAGACATGCATGTTTCCCTAAAGTTTTATCTTGAAATGGCACAAGAAATTAAATCAAAATATCGTAAAATTACTAAGATATATACAAGAAATGTCAGCGGGTTTTGTGTCGGACGAGAATGTGAGATGCGTGCTCACGATGGTCCGAGCACTTCGCAACGCCACTTGAAAAGAGAGATAAGGGGAGTTTGTAGAAGAAAGGTCAGTTTTCAAACATAGTGTGCACTGTGTAGTGAGATATATAATTAAAAATAAACAAGTCTACATCTGGAGGAAAAGATTTTCAAAGCTGAGGTCATTTTGGTTTGAAGCTTCGAGCAGTGCACAATGATCTAACGAGGAGAAAATCGGAAAAGTGATTCTTTTCTTAGTGAATAAATTGTTTGGTGAAAGCTATTTTGGTAAATATCATCTTGTCAGCTAGTAATAACAATTAAAAATTTTCAACCCATGCATTTATTCATATTTTTATTAGAACAATGGCAAAGTGTCCAACCACGAATGAGTCTCATGACACAAGTAGTAGTAAAGATGAGCTCCACTAATCAGCCCGCAATGCATATCGGGGAGTGTTACAAAATTTATCATACTGTACAGAATTATAAACAATAAAATATTATTTTTTGGACATATACATTCCTCGATATCACCCAATTTATGTAAGTCCAATATCATTCTAATACGTTACTTGGTTCCAAAATTATAATAAATAATATGAGGGTCTGTAAATGCACGTTTCCGCCGCAAACTAGCATCGAATAGCTGGTAGCCAATGTCCAGAATGGTTCGGAGTGCAAAGGGTTAAAAGTCAAACTATTCTTTGTCTTCTAGCCTGGCAACATTACCAAGACGAACATGTTCTTCCCGAGCAGTTCTGCTTCTCCAGAGAAAGAGAACCTCGCAGCCCAAGACCGGCCATCCACCTCGGTCTTATGGGTACACTCCCTTTCATCCAGGGGATGAACTTAGGGGTGGGGGCGACCAAGGGAGATGGCACAGACCTGCAAGTAGCACACACCTCTTGTCCCCATATGCGAAGGATAAGCACCCCACACAAGAATGGACCCATAGCCTCCCTGCTCCATAATTCTCAGACCGTGAAGCTGTCCACAGCCACTGCAGCAAGAACTCCATCCCCAGCCAGGGAGCTGACCCACAGGACGCAGTACCTCTCCTGTCTCCCCGCGGCTCCCCTCAGCAGTGGATTTCAGTGGATGTGCCTGTTCTGCTCCCCACTCGTCTCTGGGGAGTCCTCCCCGCCCCGGTCCACTCCCTGCCCCTGGAGCTCAGGGTTCCTCAGGGTTCCTGTAGTGTCCTCACCGCTGGAGCGTGGACAGTGTCTCTGGGCTGTGCTGATCCTGCACGTCCTGACCCCGGGATGTGGCTGAGCTGGGCAAGGTCCCCACGGAGCACGGTGGAGGCCATTCCTGGGCCTCCGCCCACCCATCCACAGAAGCCTCACCCGCCACACCCCTGGACGCCCCAACACACCTCTAGGGGGAAGTGACACGAGTCCCCTGAACCCCTCACCTTCAGAGCAGAGAGTGACACTTGCTGCAACAGCCCACATGGGTCACGTCACAGCAACAGACACTTCCAGGGAACGTGGCACTAGCAGAGGAGCGTTGTCTTAGCAAACCCTGCAGGCCTCTTTGGACCAGGTCTGAGGTGAAGGCTGAGGGGCCCGATTCCATTTTTAATGGGCGCTCAAGGACACCTAGGAGCCTGCAGCATTGTGGAAAGCGGCCTGCGGCCTAGGGGTGAAAACCTCAGCAACCTCCCACAGCGTGTTGTGTAATATGGCCCGTGGCCCCGACACTCCAGGTGGAGTTTAAAGGGACCAATGTACCTCCCCTGAATCAGGGAAGATGCTCTCAGGGGACAGACACCCCGTCAGTCACCGACCTGGAAACACAGGATGGGGGCTCTGGCCATAGAGATGTTCCTGACGGAGGAAGCTGCGTAGAGGGCACGGACAGGGAGGAGCGGGCGCCCAAGTCCCAAATCCATGATCAGCGAAACAATCCCTGACCGACGGGCCCCGAGCCCAGCCCTGTGGAGAGGATGCCGAGTAGCCTACACAGGGCACAACTGCAAATCCACAGACCGAGGCTAGGTGTGGACATGCAGGCGAGTAACGGGGGCAAACTCAGCGGGCCTCGGAGCCTCAGGAGAGCCCTCAGGCCAAGCCCTTCAGCAAGAGACACGCCATAGAGACCCCCACGACCAGCACCCGCTCCCTGCCCGCCACAGCCATGGGAGCCCCTGCTTCTCGGCCCCAGCAGCCACCCCTCGGGACCATTCTGGTCAGGGAGCTTTCTTGTCCTTACTCCTGTGAGTAAATCTCTGGCTCTTGTGGAACTCTGGGCTCCACCTGGAAGTACTTTCGTACCAAAGACAAGAAATGAGGAAGAGCACACCCGAGGCCTCAGACTCCGGGCCTGCCGCACAAACTCTCCGCTCGACATCACCACGGAGCCAAAGAAACACACCAGAAGGTGCCCGGGGCCCCTGAGGGGGGAGTGGTAGCGAGAGTTACATCAAGGACATCCTCAGCCACCACCTAATACACCGACCACTCACCCCAAGGTATGAACTGACTCAGACAAAGACCACATTCAGGGCACGGCCAGCAACGGTGGAAGGGATTATGTTCTGAACAAAGAGTGAAGGAAAAAGACCTGGATTACATCATCACCTCCAGGAGGAATACAGGGGAATGAAGAAAGGATCAGGGGAAAAAGACAAAACTCGCAGGGAGATGACAGAGCTGAGACGCCAGCAGGGGATGGGGCAGAACAGGGGCCAGGAGGGGAGGAGTAGCACCAGGGCCTGGGGTGACGGGTCTCAGGGGCGGTGCAGACAGGACATTTGCAAGAATTATACAGAAGGGGAGCAATCCAATATTGCACAAAGATGAACAACAATTTAATAAAAAAAATTAACAGGCAAGAATCCTTTCCTTTAAAAAAAATTCAGGGGCCTCTGTTGGCGCAGGGGTGAAGTCTCAGCACTATGAAGCTGTTCTCAGTACTGCAGACACGAGTTCAATCCCTGGCCAGGGAGGTGACCCACGGGCACAGCAGACCTCTCATGTGTCCCCACTGGCCCCCTCAGCAGTGGATTTCAGTAGATCCGCCTGTTGTGCACCCCACTCTCTCTGTGGAGAATCCTCTCACCCCCTCATACTTCCGGCTTGCACCCCAGATCTTGTATGCAGAATTAATCTTCCAACAAAATTACCTTATTTTGTAGAACTGGGGTGTAGACCAGAGGTTCGGGGGTGAGAAGATTCAACAGATACTGAGTGTGGTGACAAACAGGCAGAACCACTGAAATACATGGCTAACGGGAGCAGCGTGTGACACAGGAGAGGCATGTTGCGGCCATATGTGGGGCGGCTCCCTAGCTAGGGCTGAAATCCTGGCCAGAGCAGGTAATAGCGCTGAGACTTAAACCCCGAGGCCACCAGGGAGGCCCCGAAAGACCTTCATCATGAAAGGTAGGTAAAGACAGCCGCAGACCTCAACCTATAGCCAAGAGCACACAGTTCAACATTTCCTTCTAGAGGAGGACATTTTGGTGGTGAGCAATTCCAGCATCGGGGGGCACCACAAAGACTTAGAGTACTGGACAGAACGTGACGACTAAGTTAGAAAACCCAGAGAGACCACTTACCCACGCAACATGCAGTGTGCCATGTAGACAGACAGCTGCTGTGGACAGGCATAGCATCGCCCAGGAACTTAAGAGGATACTAGAAGCAACGGCAACAGGAACAACGACATCATCACTGCATGAACTTGGGAGAACAGAGTGAACCAGGTAACTCCAAGCAATTAAGATTGAAACTATGTCAGTTCCCATTGATCTCAGCTGCATGATGTGGTTTGAGCTCCTAACTTTGAATATTTTTAAAAGATTTTTATTTATTCAAGCATACAAGAACCAGGGTACAGGCCAGATGTGTGAAAGGGTGAGAAGATGCACCAGAGACAGAGCGGGGAACAGAACAGGCAGACTGACCGAAATACAATGCTGAAATACACGCAGCGGGCCAGACAGGAGAGGTCTGCCGCACCATGGGGTTGCTCCTGGCCAGCCAGGGAATCAAACTCCCACCGCAAAGGCCATGGACAGCTTCACAGCACTGCACTCAACCACCTGCACCACCAGGGTAGGCCTGCCTGTCCACTCTTGACATTCATAGCATTTCCTTCCAGTGTGGAGTTTGTCATGCCTAGTGAGGGCTGACTTCCTGAAAAGTTTTCCCACTCTTCACAATCATAGGGATTTTGTCCAGTGACATCTCTGATGTCCAGTGAGAGCTTGCTTACTGGAAAAAGTTTTCCCACGCTCTTGACACTCATAAGGCTTCTCTCCACTGTGACTTCTCTGATGTTTACTGAGGGATGATTTCTGGCGGAAAGCCTTCCCACATTCTTGACACTCATAGGATTTCTCTCCACTATGAATTCTCTGATGTGTAATGAGGTGTGGCTTACTAGAAAAAGCTTTCCCACACCCTTCACAATCATAGGGTTTCTCTCCAGTGTGAATTCTCTGATGTTTACTGAGGGATGATTTCCAGATGAAAGTCTTCCTACACTTGACATTCATAAGGCTTCTCTTCAGTGTGAATTCTCTGATGCTCACTGAGGTAACACTTACTGGAAAAAGCTTTCCCACACCCTTCACATTCATAGGGTTTCTCTCCAGTGTGAATTCTCTGATGTCTAATAAGGTGTGCCTTACTAGAAAAAGCTTTCCCACACCCTTCACAATCATAGAGTTTCTCTCCAGTGTGAATTCTCTGATGGAGACTGAGGGATGACTTCCTAGAAAAAGCTTTCCCACACTCTTCACAATAATAGGGTTTCTCTCCAGTGTGAATTCTCTCATGTTTATTGAGGTTTGATTTCAAGAGAAAAGTCTTCCTACACTCGACATTCATAAGGCTTCTCTTCAGTGTGAATTCTCTGATGTTTACTGAGGGATGATTTCCAGGGGAAAGTCTTCCTACACTCTTGACATTCATAAGGCTTCTCTCCACTGTGAATTGTCTGATGCTCACTGAGGTAATATTTACTGGAAAAAGCTTTACCACACCCTTCACATTCATAGGGTTTCTCTCCAGTGTGAATTCTCTGATGTCTAATAAGGTGTGCCTTACTAGAAAAAGCTTTCCCACACCCTTCACAATCATAGAGTTTCTCTCCAGTGTGAATTCTCTGATGGAGACTGAGGGATGATTTCCAGAGGAAAGTCTTCCTACACTCTTGACATTCGTAAGGCTTCTCTCCAGTGTGAATTCTCTGATGCTCAGTAAGGTGAGACTTCCTGGAAAAAGCTTTCCCACACCCTTCACATTCATAGCATTTCTCTCCAGTGTGAGTCCTCTCATGTAGAACAAGAACTGACTTACAGGAGAACACTTTCCTGCACGCCTGACATTCATAGGGTTTCTCCCTTGTATGAGTTCTCTGATGGACACTAAAAGCAGGTTTCCACCTGAAAGTTTTCTTACACACCTGACACGGGTAGCACTTCACTCCCGTTTGAGACTGTGGATGTAAAGTGAGGGCAGTCTTCCATGAGTAAGTTTTCACATAACCGTTAGAGCCAAACAACTTCACTGCAGTGAGATTTCTCTGGTATCCCCTCTGTAAGGAAATCTCAGCGGTGCCCCCACACTCATCAGGTTGATCGTCTGCTTGTGTTTTCTGATGTTCAGTCAGAACAGAGGTTTTAGAGGCCGCTTCACCATATCTCTTATATCCCAAATTATTCTTTCCTAACTGGGTACTCTCACGCGGATAGGTGTGAAATGTTTTTCTGAGACTGGCCCCACTTTCACAACATTTCTGCTGCTTATGTTCAAGATACCTAGGAGGATTCAAATGAACTGGAGTCATCTCCGCAGCTCTCCCCTTTTCATTACAACTGCAGGGAGTCTGTCTTCCTTGGGTTCTGTCTCGGACAACGAAAGGCACCTCATCACGGGTGTCCCTGCACTCATTGCATTTACGGACAATCCCTTCCAGAAGGGCTCCTCTAGGTGTAAATACTATTTCTTCACTCACGACTTTTCCTTGTTCACAAAATTCAAAAGGCTGTTGAAAGTTCTGAATCACCTGGTGACTAAGGTGCTCAGGATACTTGATGGGTTCCCTCATTCTACTAAAAACCTCCTCGTTCTCTCTAGCATGCCCTTCATGAGGCTCACCAGGGATCATCATGGTCCTATGTATAGTAAAGTCCTCAGGCATCATCGCTGAATTGTTTTCATTTTTGATACTATGGTTCAAACAATGAATTGAGTGCAAATTGCTTTTTTCCATTAAGTCAGTTCTCTCGTTGGATGGTATTTTGCTGCTGGTGGTAAGAACTTGCCACACATGTCTGCCCTGATTTGCAGGGCTGTCCTGAGTCAGGTGATCCACAGTATGGACATCTAAAGTGAGATAAAAATGACCATGTCTCTAAAAAGGAATCATTTTGAGTGAATACTACCAAGCAGCACAAAAGTTCCTATATTACAAAATAATTCACAGGTATTGATTTTCTGATTCATGCTTTTTGCCCATAGTAAATTATGGGGAGAATAGATTTTTTTGGTATTTTTTACTTTAGCATAGGAGATCTGGGGTGTAGGCCAGAGGTGCAGGAGTGGGGGTGCTGTAGGGGAGCGTGCTGTAGGGGAGTGTGTTGACCAGAACAGGCGGACTGACTGAAATACACTGTTGAGGGGAGCGGCAGGTGAGACTGGAGAGATTTGCTGTGCCAAAGTCGGTGAACTCCTTCACTGTGGATCAAACTCAGGCCATAATAGTGAGAGCTAAGAGACTTAATCCCTAGGCCTCCAGGGAGGCCCCAATTAACAGATTTTCTAATGCCAAACCAGGATAACAAAGCAGTAAATCTAATTTCACAATGGTTTTATAAAATCATAAATATTTGTTAAATATAGTCTTTTAACTAGAGTTGTCGATTTCAACAAGAAGCATTTCACCCAACATAGATCCTACACACTTTCTTTCTTAGACTGACCCTGTGCAACTCTTGAGGGTACTTTCTGAATAACCAAGCCCTGCAGAGGCCATGGCTTTCCCAGAAACCTGTGGACTGAGAGACCCAGTCATTGCCCAGGCACTTTAAGCAAGAGGCCTGCTGAGACACAAGGACTCTGCTTCTCCATTTCCTTAGTTCTTCTTTCGACTCTGGCCCTGGCCACGGTCACCTGCAGAGATTCTCAGAGGCATGTGCTTCCCTCCATGGAAGAGACCAGTCAGTTCATATTTAAATATCATATCACATTAAGGCTCAGAATCCTAATACATGCAGCAAACTCCGCCTCATCATTGTGTCCCACGTTCCTGCTAAGTGATAGGAAAAAAGTTCTGCATCCATCCTGTGCTATCAGCATTAAAGTCTTTTCTCACATCCTTCTGAGATCAACACCCTGGTGGTCTCAACGCACTCCCTGGAACCTGTGTTTCTGCTTTGTTCATAGCAGCTCCAGTTTCTATGTTGTGTGTGACTCTCAGCTACATCACACTGTCGTAGATTCCTTTACTTTCCTCCCAACGATTCCCACGAGAAGGTGGGAATTGCACAGGTCACACTGCTCCTCAAGGTATGAGCCCCCAACCTGAAACTCTTGGTGCCATGGCTTTAGAAACCACCACCTCAGGTTCCCCCTCCCATGTCACAGAACATCCCTTCCAACGCTGAACAATTCTGGGTCCTCCTCAGCCTCACAATTACTATGAGGGCGGTCACAAGGCTTGCCCTGAAACACTACTCATGTTCTAAATAACTCTCCAGTCAACGCCTCTCTATCCCTTTTGAGTTAGTCACCTGCTCAGTGACATCTCCAATAGCAATACATAGCCTCTATCCCAGACTGCAGAGGGAACTATAGATATGACATGTCAGTGCAACCCATTCACCTCACCTGAGCTCTGAAAGAAAATAATTAATCTCTATAATGATGCGTATGGAGCACACACAAAAACAACATCCTCCACTTTGTTTAACTCATGCTGGTCAAAGATCCTCTGTGGCTTTACCTCTCTATTAATAAATGTATTTATTACATATTCTTTCCTCACAGAGTGTATAACTTCAGAATGTAAAGATCATTTCTGTGAGTACTGTTGCTCTCCCCTCTCAGAAAATTTACCACTGGCTAAACTTCCCATAAACATACAGAAAGAATAAAAAAAAAAATTCCTCAACAGGAACCTAAAGAAAACAGTCTATGAGAATACACTAAGAGAGAGAATAGAGATATGTGATTACTGCAGAATCATCCCCATGTATCAGGGACTGCATACTGGTTTAAGAACATAGACAACCATTTTTAAAAGAGCAGGACGAAATTCACAAGAGAGTAATATTTGGAAACTGAATAAAGAATCAGTTTGATATATGCAGACACACTCTCCAAGATTGGACACTGAAAAAGCACCTCAGTGTGGCCAATATCACTGGCCACACTCCCAGCCTCCTCTCAGCCCCCCGGCCTGGCAAGCACTGACTGACCTGAGAGGTCCTGGTTTGGGGGATCGTCCACAGTCCACGGCTGTAATCCCTGCTCCGACCTGATGCTCTCCTCAGGATCGGTAACACAGTGCCCTGTGATGAGAAACAGTGTTGGTCTTCGATCAAGTTCAACTTCAGTCTTTGAAAACTAACAAATGCAGTGTGAAGAGCTGTGCAAAAGAGGCCAATCTGAATCTTTCCAAACGAAAACCGAAACACCCACAATGTACACTGCCTGCCATGTTCAACCTCACCAACACTCAGTTTCATAAGCAAGTGCACACTTATCAGTGCAGAAGACAGCATTGCACTAGAGTGTTACACTGGAGCTTCCTCACCTAGGGACACCAGGTGATTGCAGGTCTCCAGCATCACATCCCGGTACAGGGTCCTCTGAGCTTCACTCAGGTACCGCCACTCCTGCCACGTGAAGTTCACAGCCACATCTTCAAATGACACCGTCCCTTCTGAGGGAACATTTCTCATCTCAGGGCCGGCAGCCTGGGTCAGACAGAGCAAGTGCAAACACATCTTATTTTGTGGGTCTTCGGTCCTGTATAGAATTCGCAGTTGAAAGAGCCTCGCCTCTACATTCACCCCTTTGGTCCTACAAGTAGAACTATAGCTTACCTTATATATTTGGAAGTGTCTATGATTCTAAGAATAAAAGGATGAATAAAATTGGCTCCTTGAGGAGCTGATAGCCTGGCTGGCAGGTGTAACAGACTCACACCCGGAATCATGTGCTAAAGGAGCTTCATAACAAATGAAAAGCATGTGCAACTTTGTGCCAATATTTTACTCCCGTGACCTCAAAGCCTGCTATCTCCAACTCACAGTAAACAAAAACTGAACCCGAAACCAGGATGTTCAAGCAATGAGGTGGGAAAAAGCAAAGGTAAGAGATGTTCAACTACAAGCAAGTATAAACCAGAGATGCACTATGGGGGGTGGAGAGATTAGGGTTAAAATAAGGGGGTGGGATGTATGGGGACTATAACCAAGATGAAAAATGCATAACTTGTGCAGAAATAAAAAATGATGTAAAATATATATAAAATAAAATTTTAAGAAAAGATGTTCAGCTGACAGAGTCAGAAGAAGACAGATCAGGTCATCACTTCTAAAATGGAAGGACAAAGGGGAGGAGAACTTGGTAATAACTTGGTGGCTGAGGTACGAGGAATGTTTTCCTAATATGCTGTCTGCATGACGGGCTGGTAGACACTGGAATTCCACACGCAACTGGACATGTGTCTGGTAGATCAGGAAGTCTAAGGTGAAAACAGAAATTTGGGAATCAGGTCCTCCCTGGTGGCACAAGAGTTTAAGTCTCAGCACTATGAAGCTATCGGCAGTTGCTGCAGCAAGAATTCAATCCCCAACCAGGGAGCTATCCACAAGGCGCAGCAGACCTCTCCTGTCTCCCCGCTGCTCCCCTCAGCAGTGTATTTCAGTCAGTCTGCCTGTTCTGTTCCCCGCTCTGTCTCTGGTGAATCCTCTCACCCCCTGCACCTGTGGCCTACACCCGAGCGTTTATATGCATACATAAAATAAATATTAAAGAAAAGAAAGAATATGGGAATCTCCAGGATATTATTGATAGTTTTCATCACCGTAGGGGAGAACACGTTGACCAGAACAAAAGGTATTGAAAGAAGAAAAACAACTAGAAGAGACAAATATTTCGAGAAAGAAAAAAATAGATCATAGCAATGAAAGAGTTTTGAAAAATAAGATACACGGTATAAGAAAACAAACATCTTATGAAATCCGTAAATTTATTCCATCATTTCCTTTCCTGTGTAGTAAATCCTGTGCACCTCCACATACATATAGAATAGGAACCCATTAAAATAAATTTCCATTTGTATTAGCTAAAAAAGGATTCAGAGGATTTTTCCTCAACACAAATCAAGTCCTTGACAGCCACAGGCGACATCAACATTCCCAGTGAGAGAAGGACTAACAAAGACGCTCAGTGTCCCCTATTCACAATGGGTTTGGGTGACGCTACGTAACAACAACAACAACAAAAGACAACATACATAAAAATGGTCATAACTAGTTATAATTCATTCTTGGAAAACTAATGAAAGCCAAAGTAAAGCGACTCTGGAAAGGAAAACCCAGTGATCAGACTATAACACACACCCGTGTTCACACACACAGGAGCTCCTGTACGCTGCCAGTGAAATGACAAAACAGTAAGCAATGCATGTAGCGGAACCAAGGGCAGAGACTCGCTGGAATAAAGAAACCTGGAGGGTTAAACAATGAATAAAACAAATGCAAAGACACAACAGCATCCAGGACACGATGAGCCTGCTGCACTGACAGCAACTCTTGCAAGGTAACCCGGCACATCCCAGTTCTAGGAAAACAAAAATGCATTTATTTACAGGCTCATTGATTAAAACACTAATACGAGAAATAAAACAACAGCAAAGAAAGAGAAGGTGGATGGCTCATGTCTGCGCACAGAAACTCACGGGGACCTCCCAGCAGGAGTGGGCTCAGGATGCCATAAAAGGACCATATGATGAAATGGGACAATACAATCCCCTCACGCTTTCGACCCTGTTCAAAATGGAAATGTGCAGCAATGAGTAAAGGACTGGAATACACAGCTCTGCAAATCACATACCCAAGCGGGTCCTAAAACATGAAAGTTCTCAATACGATCAGTCACGAAGGAAAAATGAATCAGAAGTACAAGAGATGAGATTTTACGTCCGCTGGGATCGCAATGATTTAAAAAGAAAGAAAAGAACAAGTACTGGCAAAAATTGGACCTGGCTCCCTTGCGCACTGTTGGGGCAAACATAAATGATGCAGCCAGGAGGGAAGACAGGAAGGTGATTCTTGGGAAAAGGGAACTCAGAATGACAGGAGGACCCACCCCCA